TTGATTGATGATCGATAGCATTATGAATTAAATGAAATAACCTTAAGATAAACAACAATAAGTAGGCAAAAATGATGCTGCATCAGTATTAAGAAGTAATTTCTAGCATAAAATATGTAAAGGGCTTGTCCTTTATCCTATTATACAGAAACTGTGGCGCTATTAGGTCCTGGAGTGAACGCCCATAAATAAAGCAGTGATAAAATTAACAATTTTCAGGCAATCACAGGAAAGGCATCACTTCCGTCAACCAATTTCAAGTCCGAAATAGAGATGACCTCTATTAGCTTTATATTTTCTTATAGTATCAGCTGTGGCAAGAAGAGGGCACCAAACCCAATTTAAACTAACCTACGCGTGAAATAATTTATTAAAGATGGAAAATACTTTATCATTGTTATTATTTCAATTTGATATCATAAAAATTGCAAGAAAATTATGACCTTTCTAATTTTTATAAACTACAAGTTTACCGAACCCAGTCTAGACAAGCTTAGGCATGGAATTATTTATCAGGGATAAGTAAAATAGGATCTTTAATTTTCTTATGAACTACAACTTTACTGAATCCAGTTTAGACAAGCTTAGGTGTGAAAGAATTGATCAGGGACGCATAGGAATCATAGAACCTGCAAGAAAAATTGGGCCTCTAATTTTTCCATGAATCACAAATTTACTCTCGAACAAGCCTAGCTGTAAACTAATTTATCAGGATGGATAGGAACCATAGATATCGTAAGAAAAAATAAGACCTTTAAATTTTTGTTATGCACTACGAGTTTATTTATGTGATCGGGCTAATTTCTCATTCTATTTTTTCAGGGTATTACCTGTTGCAAAGAGAGCGCCAATCCTAATCTAGACTAGCCTAGGTACGAAATAATTTATCGAAGATGGAAAAAATTGATGCAAGAAATTTGACCTTTCATTCTTTTGTGAACTACAACTTATCAAACCTAGTCTAGACAAGCCTAGGCATGTAATAGTTGATCAGTAAGGGATTGGAATCATAAATATCGCGAAAAAATAGAACCTTTAAGTTTCTAATGAATTGCTAGTTCATTTATACTGTACGATCGGCTAATTTATCATTTCATGGAGGAAGTTAACAGACGACATAAATCTTTTAACTTACTAATTTTTGTAAAGTGCTTATGAAGAGTTTTCATGCTAATTAGATTCTACCTGGTCGATGATCTTGCTGCTATTCCATCTCATAGAAGCGAGATAATGATCACTTTTCCGGTTTTTTATAGGGCCCTCTCGATCATCTTTTACGGCTACTTTACTCCGACCTCAGTTTTCTTACAGAGAACAGATAATCATTTCATCTAATTTCCTTGCAACAGCTTCCCTAATACTTCAGTTCTTAGATAGCAAATTAATTATTGGTCCTTCAGGATTCTCTGAAATCACTTTTTTGCTTTAAATCCACATTTCAAATATTAAGCTGCTTTACGCCTAACTTTGTGTTATAATTAGATTTTGGATCCTTACAAATTTTCTCCTATAATTTGTATAATCGTATGTAAGATGCACCTTTTCCTACACATTCCTTCTACAGTAGCTTAGCAATAGATTCAAGATCGTCAATTATACAGCCGTATAAAATGCATAGTACAATATTGCATAGCCAGCCGGGAAAGGAAGCATTATTTATTAAAGTTAGACACCATCTCTACATCAATGCTTAAAGAGCAAGTAAAGAGTAATGGGCTTTGATTAATTTAGATTTTATATCCATTTCGTTGTTTAAAAAAACGGTGCAATAATATCTAAAACTAGTGTTATTACTAAATGCGATTTCATAACATTCGAAAATGATGTAATCATTTGTTAAAATAAAATGTAAGCAATAAACACGACCAAACTCTTACTCACAGGGTATAAAAATCTTATAGTAAAAGGACTAGCTTAAACAATGTAAAAATTAATCATTTAATTTGTAGATATTATATAAATCTAGGAATCACTGCATGTACGTTCATTACTACCAAAGTGAATGATATAATAAAGACTTGCTATCAAAGTAGTTCAATTAGCATAACAAGCTAAGCACTTTCGATAATCAATCATGCCCCAATATAACAACACAGTTACTGCATGTTAATGCTATCGTGCAATGAAGCAAAATTGAAACCAATCTAATTCAAATTTGGGGGTTCAAAAACGCTAAATGTAGCCGAAATATATCGTAGATATATTTTGTGTAGGATCAAATCAAGATAGTCATAAACGGAAATTTCAACAATACGCATGTCAACAACTTATACAGCAGTTTGATAAGTGCCTTGCGCTGTTAGACCGTTTTCTTCGTTCTCTATTTCTTTATCGCATGATAAGTCATAACTTTCCATCTCTTCTTGGGTTTTAGGAACAAACAACAATTTTACAAACCGCTATAGAATAAGATAATACGTTTAGATTAATCAGTATGCTGTTATATCAGTCAAGAATATTTTGCAAATGCTAATGCTTACTTCTATTACTGTTCCTTGCGTAGTAAATATTTTGTAAATAGCTCCAATTACAATACCGGATAAACATATGGCCATCATAGTCCAGCCAGCAAATTCACCCCACCATGGATAAAGATTGCCATAACCGAATGTAACAGGTTTATAGTCAATGCAGCTGAAAATGAATATCATCTAGTAGAGTGAAATAAAATAAGGCTATTAAGATAGTAAGAATAATAGTTTTAATATCAATCTACCTTTAAGCAGGTATTACCCATCGAATAAGAATCATTTACGAATGCTGTACAGTATATTGGCTATTAAGTACGATAATAAGACAGGTTGTCTTTATATCATTCTATCCCTAGGCCAGTATTATCGATTAAATAAGAATCATTTATACTATATAAAGGCTGTTAAGGAGCAGGACGAATTGTTTTAATATCAATCTACCCCTAGGCTGTATTATCCATTGAATAATAATCATTCATGCTGTATAGCTAATAAGTCTACATGATTTGAAGAAATACCATGATCATTGCCGGAGTCATAATATACCAAGAAATTCTCCATGGAATCCAGACTGGTTTATTTATAATTCGACTAATATTGTTGGCAAATCGGTTACCTCCTTTTCAATTGGATATTAACAAGACAAAGTGAATAATAAAACAGTTAACATCTGAAATTGATACATTTAAAATCGCTTGATACGTCTATTTATCCTGTACCGTAGCAATAGCTAACAGCTACCAACTCAATAATGGCAGTTATAAATGCTGTAAAATCTGCGGTGTACCAACTGAGTAGTGTGATAATGTAGAATCCACCCTGTAAATAGCCAGCTGATATTATACACTCATATCTAGATATTTTTGCATTTATGTTATAAAATATTTGATTAAGTAACGCAAATAGTATATTCATTTGTTAGACTAAAGTATTTATAGTTCCAAGTTTTTAATTAGTAGTGTACTAACCCTAGTTACGCAAATTAATCCAGGAAGAAACATGAAAATACATACACCAAGCGTTGTACATGGCCTATATGGTAGTAATTTCGGCCATAAATCGCTGAATCCAGTCGTTATAGTTTCCAAAGCACCCATCTGCAATAGGAAAAAGCGAATAATTAATCTAATAAGACTACTAATCAATCAACTTGCTGTTAGCCCTTACTATTCAATAAAGCGGAGTAAAATAATATATTCTAATCTGTAAGGGTAAACAGAAATGATTTCTATACAAATATAGTATAGACTTACCAAAGTGTCGATGCCAAGTGTAATCAACATAGCGAAGAATAGAACTGACCAAACATTAGCTCCAGGTAGAGTCGCTAAGCCGGCTGGATAAGTCACAAATGCAAGACCAGGACCTATGGAACAGTACTGACATTGATAAATAAACTATACAACTGCCCTCACAATTGAAAACCATTTTGTGATAGTATAGCTTAGAAGACATTAATTATTATTTCTCTTTTATGCCCTAGTACATCTTGTCAAGAAATGGAAAACCGGACAGTAGACTGATTTAATCGCCGTTATTTTTAATAAGTAAGAATTCACCTTGAGTGGCTACTTGCGCAATAGGAACACCACCTTGGTCGGATAGATAGCCAAGGATAGAAAAAACGACAAAGCCACAGAAGAAGCTTGTAGCATAATTAGTAAGACTGATGATTATGGCATCTCTATAAATTTGGTTGTTAAAATGGGGTGAAAATGAATTATTCATGGTCATTCATGAATATCTGTACTATTTCAGTGGATAAACATTATTCGAATAGAATTTTTTAGCCCAGATTACCTTAAAATATTATTGTTTCTTTTATTATAACTAGCCAAAGTAATTGTTGGGCCAATACCAGTACCTAAGGAATAAAATATTTGTGTTGCTGCATTGCGCCAAGTCTGTAAATCAAGTGAAATTGGGTTAATGAATTGGATCATGGTCTTCCAAAAAAAAGTCGAATTGAAGCGGTAATGCCTTCTTCTATTGTATGCAGAAGAAAGGAAAAGATTTTTCTGAAATATTTTGTTTTCATAGAAACCTACCCTTGATTGCTTCAGTTTATCCAAGTCGACTCTTAAATAGAAATCAATACCCAAACCAGCACCCTTTAATGTAATCCCTCGAAAGAATAAAACAATTAACACCAAGTATGGAAATGTGACCGTAAAGTATACCACCTGTTCAATTGAAAACCAGTATAAGTAATTCTATTTCGATAAAAATTATTTTGGGATTATGCTATTATGTCACTTTACATCAATTATAATATTGATTGCATAAAGCGATTTTTGCTAATAGGATATGATTATTCCATACTTATTCTATAAAATGTAGAATTACTGGATATATAGACTTATCCAAGACATTAGCTAGACCGATTCAGTCTATGTCATCTCTTTACGTTTTATGTTCATTTATAGTGCAGTATTTTTAGAAACTGTCGGATTTACCTTTCCTGACCATTTGATACCCTTGAAGATAGAAAAGTAAACAACAATCCAAGATATAAGTAATAGCAGTGCTAGTTCCCATTTAATTGGCCCAAGGTTACTAGGATGATTACTTATTTCAAGTAATCCATGACTAGAGCGATCAAGAAAATATGAAAGTGATGAACTTAGGAGTAGTATGAAGATAATGAACAGTTTAAGTACATAAAGTAGTTGTTTTTGCATGTGAATAAATTGATAACAAACATCATTTAGTGTAAATAATTACAAGAAAAATTCTTCACTAGGAGAAGTTCCTGATACGTTTGGCATTGATTCATTTCCAGTCAGGCAATTTTCTGTATTCCAGGCATTATCACATGTAGTCCAAGGAAGCGGATCGACGAAGCTTGCAATTAAAAAGTAAAACACCCAGGAGAAAAGGACAACGTAATATATTCCAAACAAAAGCATCTGCATTATCATAGAGACACCAATTCCTGGAATAGACAGAAGAAATCTAACTAAATTATGAAATGCTAGCAATTGCCAGCTGAAATGAAGGCGAGCATAATTAGCACAATGCAACAGCATGGCCAGTCGAAAGCAATATTGTCATAGCTCATTATTACCTGTTAATAATGGACAGATATTATTAAATGCCTTTGTTGGACCTTGACGAAAGTATTGGCCTATGCCGAGTTCCAAAGCCATCAGTGGTATACCACACACGAACAGAAATAACGTATAAGGGATTAAAAAGGCACCTAACGTAGATAATTATACGTATACAGTGTTTTAGAACAAATTATATGCAGTTCTATGCTAAACAATATGTTTTCAAGTATTGAGAATTTTAATACGCAATTTATCAGCAAATGCTCTTATACTACAGCTAACGGAATATTGCTACCTGAATTCAAGCTGATATAAACAATTCGATAACCTTACGATATAAACTGTAAGAATAATAAATAAATATTCTTCGATTTGTAAAGTTGTTGAAGCGATCTTGCACAATATTTAACAGTTAGCCTCCATCCTTTACATAAAAATCCGATTAACTGCTAAAACTATTGTCTTCTACAAGGATATTAAATATTCTTCGATTTTTAAAGTTGTTGAAAGCAATCGCGTATAGCATACAACACTTGTCCTCTATCTTTTATATAAAAATGTGGCAAATGGTATCTTTCCGTGAGACAATTAAATATTCTTCGACTTACAAGGCTGTTGTAGGCAAATGCCTATAACATTCTACAGCTATTCTCTACCCTTTACGAAAAATACGGCTAAGAGTCAAACTACAATCTTTCCGAAATCAATATCAACAATACTCTAATTGTATGGGAGCAGTCATCGATATCAGTAGCCGTGTGAGCAAATTAGCATCCGAGCTCACCTCCACCATTATCATAGCAAAGGTATGGGAACCTCCATAGGTTGCCCAGCCCAACAGCATAGCCTATACAGGACAGCAAAAACTCAATTTTCTTATCCCAATGGCCACGAGCATCTTGTGCTTCTTCATCATCTACTTTCTTCTTATCCTGTTCAATATCGTTTTCTTGCTTTTCATTTGGAACCATTTTTCGTTTCGGTGCCAGTAATCTGTGATTCTAAAGTGCCTGATTCAGATATGGTGTAATATCAACTAGAACTGAATCCAATGGAGAGCCAATACGGTAATTAATTATTCTAGCTAGTTTGACAAGGTCTCGCAAATTGAATTCAATTTGCTCAATAATTAATAGACCGCAAAAATAGTCGTGGTAAGGTTATATAAATATCAGTTGATAGGATTGCTATAAATGTATAGAAATCTTAATACATGACCAACAAACTACGAATTAAGTGAAATAAAATTAGTTATAAGCATACAAAGCTCATATGACTGTTTTATTCGATTAATACTACGGTACCGCCCCAGGCTATCACCGTAATATTATATTATGAAAATACGTGGGTCTATATTAGAAAGGAACTGTGAGATTCTAATGTTTCCATTGCAACACTAAAGTAATGCCATAGAATATTTAACAAGAGCAACTTGAATGCTGAGATTATCACGACCGGATATCAAAGACTGATTCAATTAAAGCTATTACCGATTAGACAAATTACGGCCATAACTAACTTAAATATAATTGATTGTTCCTGTAAGAAATCAAGAGATTATGTATATTGACATAGAACTTGATGGCTACCGTAAACGGGTTAGATGTACGCATATGTTGGGATGGTAGAATATTGCTTCATTTTTTTTAAATTTGCCAGGGCTTACAAGATTACGCTAGCTAGGATATAGCGGTATACTGTGTCTATGGAATACGAGGATCTACTTTATGCTTGATGATTTGTAGGAATAGAAAAGTAGGCAGACATTTTAATATGACCTACCTTTACTTTCTAGCAGCCTTGGATAATTTATAAATCTGTCAGTAAGTTTCAGTTATTTTTTGTTCATATTTTGTCGTTTAAAATAGAAACGACTAGTAAGTAATGATGACTTACGCAGGTGAATAAAGTTATATTTAAAACTAGCATAATGCTTGATGGCCAAATTATTGCGTTTTTGCTAAAGATTTTTCTTATCAAAGTCTTAATACTGATCAATCTGCAGCTAATTTCGTTTTGGGTAATGAGATTAACTCTACTAATGGCTTAGACAATTGCTGTTATTATTTGACTGATTTTAATCCTACGTAGTGAATTTACTGAACAATTATTATGGAAGGATTGGTTCGTTTTCAATTATCATTTTCTGGGAATTAGCAATCGCCTCAGCACCATATGGTGCTCTTAAATGATATGGATCATGCCAATCTATTTTAATTGCTATTAGAAGAATAGAATACAATTGGCTTTTAATTGCACCAAAAGTAATTTAAAATCCCATTTCGATAATTATCAGGATTGAAGGCAATTTTATGAAAGATATTTATACACTCCCTTATTCAGGCATTTAAAAAGCGATTGCTAAACTGCCCCTATTCTATTTTAATCTAGTGAGTTCTAGGTATCCAATGGCATTCAGCACAATCGTTTTGTTGATCGAAAATCTATATTAGCAAGGGAAGGCTATCGAAAAGGAGATTAACTACCTGCTCTTTTCAGGCAAAGCTTGCTAGGAATAAATCACAACAGAGCAATTCTAGATATGGTCATCGTTATAGATGGGTCCTGATTTATCACTAGGTTTTGAGCACCTTTTAAAAGCCATTACTTCTTATATTAGTAAATATCTCCTTCAAAATGCCTCTAGAACTAAACCATTCGTATTAGAGAAATAAGTTTTTCTGATGGATCATAGGGATAGCAAGAATAAAAGCGTTCTTTCTATAGTAATAATAAACTAGTACCGCACTCGGTGACAAAGCAATTCTTATATAACCTCTCAAGATTGATGCTATTCGATTTCCCAAGCTAAGATCGAAACATCTCAGATCTAAGAAGTTTCTGATAGGATCCTAAAATTGATCCTAATCGATAGACTAAGCTAAGATCGAGAAATCTTAGATCTTAAAAATTTCATATAAGATCTTAACATTGATCCTAATCGACAGCCTACGCTAAGATCAAGAAATCTTAGAGCTAAAAATTTTTTATAGGATCTTTACACTGATCCTAATCGATAGCCCAAACTAAGATTTAGAAATCTTAAACCTAAAAAATCCCTTCAATGATCTCAATATTGTTGCTAATAGATAGCCCAAGCTACGAGTTAGAAATTTCAAATCTTATTAAGTCCGGTTCTAAACCATCATTGATTGATTCAACTAGTAAACTCGATTTCAAATAATTGTTAAAGTGTTATACAAAAATAGACTGTTGTTTATTTTTAACATGAAATTTGCCGTATAACGTTGTCCAAAGATGACAATGATAAAAAATAATCGACACCAAATTTAGCTAATCTATAATCGTCAACAGAGTTATATATGGCTTGAAAAATAATGCCTGCATAGTTTGTTATGAATATTCATCTGCTCATGGGAAGAAAGAAAATATTATGAATTATGAGTAGGTAAACCAGTGGTAAACTAACGCAAAATTAGGCTATCGATATCTTTTCCCAGGTGTTTCTTTGCAGCATTACCACATCTGTGAAAAGACATCCAAGACTTGTTTCAACGAGTCGAAGATATCGCCATCATTGATTGATTCCATCTTGACGTTATCCGCTTATTCCTATGTGAAACTAGCAGTTCTGATCGTTTAACTATGATGGAGGCAACTAGTAAAGATATTCACTCTGATGCCAAGAAAAATGTTTGTCCGTTATTTCTTTTTCGATAGTGAACAGTCTGCAATAAACATTAACATTATATATTCATTTCGCCTTGTCTTGCTAAAGATCTTTTATTGATAACCGACATTAGGCTCAAGATTTCCAAATTATCAAACATGTACCTGATATTTTAGTCCAATTTCATCAAGTTTCTCGATCACCTCCGTATAGACAAACTATACGCTGTGTCAGTATGATAGTAGATATAAAAGGTTAGTTAGTAGGATTTTTTCCGGATGTGATAAAACTGGCCATAGACTCAATTTGTTCCGTATAGAGCAAATCTCCTAGCCCATTTTGAAGATTTCATGTATCAGTTTTACAGTTTAATCGTTTCATCTATGCCATCACGGTTATTATTCCACCTTTATCAGATAATAGATATAGTCAGCTAATTTCTAGTCCAAGTTGCCCTCTATATCTCTTCTTTCTTAATTGGATAGGATTTACTCTTCTCATTTATATACCTCTTTTCTAAATTGGATAGAATTTTACTGTTATGCTTGTTGAAATCTATCTTTTCTTAGTTGGATACGATTTACTGTACTGCTCTGCTCATTGATACTGTCTCTATCATTTCTCAATTGGAAACGATTTACTACTCTATCCGTTAACATCGATCTGTTCTCAGTTGTATAGGATTTACTCCTTTCCTTAGTTACAGTACATTTTTCTTTTCTCAATGGGATAGAATTTGCTGTTTTACTCATTGTATCAACGTGTATCTTTTCTCAAATTAGATAGGATTTACTGCTTTGTTCATTAATATCTATTTTTATTCATTTGGTTAGGATTTACTGCTCTCTGTGAACGCTATACAAACGAAGTTGGTTATAGAGGCGCTGATCATTTAACTAAGACTCTTAATAAATATTTAAGGGTAATCATTGAAGGTGATTGAATATTTTATTATTTCACTCTGCCTACAATTTATTAGCTAGAAATTTCAATTTGTCTCTTATAAGAAAATTGAATATAAAGTCTTCTCCTTATTCTAGGTATCCTCAGATGTCAAGGGGATATATTAAAATTTGCTGGTAATATTCAAAGTTATGTCTACTCTATTTCAATCCCTTTAACTTAAGCTGTATTGGCTTTTATTTACTATTATTCAATCAATTTAGGAGATGCTATTTTGGCTTGCTGGTATGGCTGTGATAATAGCAGAAAAGCGGAACAAATTATACGAAAAGTCATTCTTTGCAGCCTCATGATTGAAGAAATATGCACCAACTGGGATACTGGAATTGGGGTTTATCTATCAGTCAAAACAGTTATATCGTATGGTGATGTTGCTGTTTTATATGTTGGAAATGATCAATATGGAGTACGCCATTTCATCACTCATGGTCCTATCATCGATGATATGAGAAGGGGACAAGAAATCGCATCTCGCATGAGCATTGGAATTACATTAGTTAGCCAGCTTGCTTGGAAATTCTTAGTATCATTCTCCATCGAAGCTAAAGACGTCGAATTAGGCTTTAAGGCCGTATGTCATTTAGCAATTCATGATATCAGGAGTAATCAATAAAAATTCTTCATAATCAGTCTGACGTAATTAGCTATAATGTCGTCTTCAATCAATTTCTTTACTAGATCTACAAGCAAGAAAGTATCCATTGCCAAAGCTTTCAATATCAAATAGAATTTCCAGGTAAGAGAATGATAGTCTTTGCATCGCTACTGTCACTTGTATGTAAAGGGTTCAATAAAGTAGAACTATGGTCAAATCTCTCTCCTAAATCTTAAAATATTATTATAGTTCGAGATAGCTTAGAAATATTACCTATCCAAAAAGATGTCGAGAAATTTATCTCTCCCGTGGTTATATCAAAGGTAATATTTATGATTATATTTATAATTCTCTCGCACCCGCTTTATCGTTATTAGTGGTCATTATTAGCTATTATTTTACTTATGGATAAAATATCCTGCACAAAGTGAGCCCTAATTTAAAGTTTACTATTTGACTAGCTAATAATCAACGAATACATTAAGACATTTAATTAAATCACGTATAAAATATAATTTCATTAGTTTGATAGGTATTATTCCCTAAGGTTATGAGGAAGAGATTTTAACGTCGTTGAAAAATTTATTGATTTTTCTCTGGCGGCATGGACTAATAAAAATTTTAATACAGCGTTATTTGCTAGAATTTTATTCCTCAGATATTGGAAAAGAGATAAACTCTGATTTTGTGTTTTCAGTTTGCTTATATTAGTATTAATGATACACGCTGATCAACTTTAAATATTAATATTTTCTACTAAAATTAATTTCTTTATCTTATCAGTTACTATCGATTAAGAGGGGAATTTTGCTAGCTGCAGTAACATTTCCCGCATCTAGTGCATCTTATGAGATATATCGAGCCATTTTTTACGTTTAGTTTAGGAAAAATTAAAAATAATATCAGCCATAACATCAAGCCATATCTCAATTAACTAGTGCAGCAATCAGGCTTGCTTATCACTTTGCATGTACAATTAATATTAAGGTTATGAAATACTTTGCTTAGTGGTATCCTTCGGTAACCCATAAGGAAAGCCTCTGTCATTGAAATGCTATTAGTGGTTCAATCCTATATATAAGAACACATTAGGAATTGTGATGACATTTCGTTTAAAAATTTATTTAATTACAACTAAAAAGAAGACGAGTTATTATTTGCATTTTCCAATTCACTTATATCATCAGTTCTATTTATATGTTAATGCCTTTGTCGACAGTATTTGGTGTAAAGACTTTCAATTTACAATTTGAATGAACATCGATAATCTTTGGATATGTAAAATTTTCTCTTGTGCAGATTACTTCCGGTGAAGGAATTGAATACTTATCGGAAATTGTTCGAGCCTCCATAGTTTTCATCAATTTAGTTTTAAGTTTCGACCATTCGAGCTCATTAGATTCCGGGGAATACGCTACCAAGACCTTGCAAACTGCCTTCCGTACTGTTCAAGAAAATATCCATGAATTAAAAGGTGATACAGAATAATTTTCTCTCCATCGATCTATGTAATATCAGCTATGGATATTCATTTTGAGTATCTTATATACGGTTCTGATGAGCAATTAATACTTCTTAGGGCATATTAACAAAATCTTTATGTTTGATAAAGTAAGTTGACACCATAAAATGGAAGGAATCATAGTGACGAGAACGATCATAATTATTATAAGCAAATTATTTTGACATTGAAATCTATATTTCGCCTTGATGATATTTTCCTGCAATCCCTTACTAGGGATGCACTTTTTTAGTTATTTTTGGTATGCCAGGATTTAAGTGCGAAGATGTTGCCAATCGCGCGGTTATTGCAGCCGCTCGTATTAAGGAAGGTATTGATCAACTCGATATTAGGTAAGCGCCTATTCCCTTCTCTTCCTTAATGTTCAAAGGACTTTAGCATGATGGATTCATTCTGTAATTATTTCTTCTCTTAATCATATATTTTATGATCAATGCCCTATAGTGATGAAATATCAATTGGTATAGCAACGGGTAAAGTCTTTTGTGGTGTTGTCGGGCACGAATCATTCCGCCATGAATATACAGGTTGGAATGAATTACCTTAAAGCTAGCTGCAATCGAGATTAAAGATAATTATTACACACTGCGATTCATTTCATTTGATTTTGCTACTTAAATCGGTGGCTAATGATTGTAATGAATAGCGTGAGTGGTTTTAGCTGGTTGTAACTTTGTTAAATTTTGACTGTAACATGATAGTTATTGGTAGGAAAGTCAATATGGCCGCCAGGCTAATGACCAATTACCGTGGCAAAATTATTTGTGATAAAGATACCTATGCAAACTCCAAACTTAAAAGATCCAATTTCCTTAATTTGCATCAGATTGATTTGAAAGGGATTGGTTTAGTGTCTCCATATGAATATTCTCGAGATATAAAGTGAGTTATTATTTCTTTAGCTACCTTTTGCTGGTGATGAGTATTCCAGAACGTTAGTAAACCCACATACATTGCCGATGGAGAAGTTTAACTCCACTTTTCATATACAGTATGGCATTATTAAAATTTGTCACTACATTTGCGATACTTAAATCTTATATTTATGCGTAGTAATATGATGAGTAGAATAAAATTAATTTCTATTTGGGCCATAAACTTATTCTATACAAAGTGCAGTTATAATAAATCTATTGCTATTAAAGCAACTGTTAATTGAAAAGAATTGACTATTAAGAGCTAATTTTGATGCCTCTGTATAGGAAAGATATTATGAAAGCTTGGGTGCAAGATATTCGCCAATTTAAATATCCGATGATAGGTATATTAGGGAAAAAACTGATCTAAATAACATTGATCTTGTTATTACAGCTACAGGAATAAAGACAGGTTACGAATTGAGGTTCAAAGTTGTGAAATGTCGTAACATAAACCAATAGTTACATACAGATATTGATATTTCCAACTCTTAATGTGCTATAGGTCGTAGCAAGGAATTAAAAGATATAGAGGATAGACTTCAGCTGATGAAGAACGAGAATGATATGCAAAAAATCATCATTGAAGGAACGGATGGAATAGGCAAGAGTCGCTTACTTTACGCTGTTTCTAACATCGCTCAATCTATGGGTTACAGGTAGATAATTTATTTCAATAATTACGCTAGAAATATTAAATAGAAGTAAGATCTACACGATTATAGCTGGATAGAGTGGAAATTAAAACATTGCTTTTAGTGGATTAAGTAGCTAGAATAAGCTAAGATTATGTGTGATTTTTTATAGGTCGATATTTCTAAGTTTTTAATCTCTAGTTGTGCATAATATCGGATACAAGTTAGATTTTCTATTGCATTCAAATTTTCAATAGTATAATAATTTTTCGAAAAATTCAGCTCATAGTTGTCGTTCATTACTATTATCTAAAACTGAGTATAGTTTTAGATAGGACTTTTAACAGCATTAACATTTTTGAAATAGTGTAATATCGGCTGCTGGTGCATCGGATCATACGGATTCTCCGCTCTACTTGGCTCGAATGCTATTATTAAAAATTTTACATTTAGACATTTCTAATGAAAAAAAATCATTCGATCTAAATCAACTGGAAGCATCTTTATCACGCTATCATTGGTACAGGGAAAATATTTGGTTTTGGAAAGAATTATTCAATTTACATGTAGGTTCAATAAACATTAATTTTAACAAATAGTCATTGGTTTATCCTATTGGCAATTCGATAGCCAAAGTCTGTCATTGTCAATTTAATCCTTAATGAAGGATCACGACTCTAATCCACTCTCATCTATATTACTAATGAAATGAATAGCCTAAGGAAGACTATGAAAAACATGAAATAGATACAGCTTTACCAGAGCAGAATAAGAAAACTTCTCACGGAGAGATACTAAGTCGTACTCTACAGAGTGTAAGTATCTTTTAGATTGCTTATAGATAACGGAATTATCATGGCTAAAATTTTCAGTTCATTCCAATTCTATCTATTTCAATTTGGAATTGATATAGAATGTTAATTTACTTGCAAATAGTTGATTGAATTTAGCCACAACACTTTGATTTTCATCATTGACGATATCCAAGTTATTGATCAAGAATCCATACAAATATTGAATTATCTCTTACGCACTACCTTAGTTAAATTGGTAATAACGCGTAGTCTAATAGCCAATGAAATGCAACAAAATAAATTAGAAACTAAGAATGACAACAGTAGCAAAAGAGAAACATTCTATATCCGGCTTGAAGGGCTTACCAAAGAAGAGCTTGTTAATTTTGCTTGCCAAGCATTAGAAGTAACCAAAATAACTTCTTCATTACAACGTTTAATTACAAAATATCATCGAGGAGGTAAGACAAGATGAAATTTGTGCATCCATTTCAATATCTACTATCTACCTGCATCCTAGCAGTCATTTACTACCAATTAATAATCGTTTGGAGCAATTTGCGCCTTTAGGTGTTCCGCTATGGTGTGAAGATTTACTTCATTGCCTGCTTTACGATGGGTATATCCATATAGTGCGGGCTAAAGAATATGATAGGATCGATGTTCGTCGTCATTCTAGTTCCTCTACCGCTGGAAGTAGACGTAATTCTACCTTACTACTACCTTCATTTTGGTTTCGACGAGCATCAACTCGAAGTGAAACAGATCAAGGTAGATTTAGCTTGAATAAATCATCTTCTTCACGATCAGGCTCATCTATGGACGCTAGCCAGGATACTACCTCTAAAAAGAGTAGTATAGATCAAGCATCGACTAACCAACGCAGAATTGCGTTTGCTACTGCCAATCCTGACTATTTACTCCCCTCCACATTAGAAGCAAATAACATTTGTGCCATTCCTAATGGCATTTCATTATCAGCTATTAGAATACCTGATCCGATAGCATGTAAGTTTCATCAGCTGCTTTTAAAATTGGCTTTATACTATCTTAATTTTACTTGTCAGTTTTTTTATATGAGATTAGGTTAGATCTGATATAGCTTTACTTGCTAATAACATGCGATGATATAGGCGGATGGATTATCATCTTATTCTATACTTTGATATAGAAATATTTGCAAATCAATTCGTTTTATTATAGCTGCTGCTTGAATAAAGCAGATCAGATCTAATATACTTTTACCTGCTAATGTTATGCGATTAGATAGAGGGATGAATAAATCAGCATCTTATCCTATGCCGATATTGAATAAGTTTGCAAATCAATTCGTTTTACTATCGCTACTAGTTGAAAGAATTAGATCAGATCTAATATACCTTTACCTGATACTGTTATTCGATTAGATAAGCAGATAGATTATGATTCTAGTCCATACTTTGATATGGAATAACTTTTGCAAATCAGTTAGTTTTACTATTACTGCTACTTGAACGAATCAGATCATATCTAATATACCTTTACCAGCTAGCGTTATAAGATCTTAGAGGCGGATGGACTATCATCCTATTTTGTAATTTTATACCTGCTGCTTGAATGAATACTGATAGCTGATTGCAACATGCTCAGTAATGATGATATAGAGGAAATTAGTACACCATAGCAAAGTTAACGCTTTATTTTATTTATATTTTCACAAAATCAAATTGCATACCGGCACTTTCTCATAATGAAATCAATTTATGTAGACATGTAGGTTTGAACAGGATAGATTTTAACACTAAATTTAAACTTTTTATTTTATATTTAGCCGCAATTCAAGTCAAAGTAGATAATTTATCACAATTAGATCAATTAATCATCAAACATGCTGCCGCAATTGGAGTTATCTTTACTCTAGATACTTTACATGAAATATTATTAGTCAATCAAAGTATAACTTTGGATATACTGCAGCAATGCATTAACCGACTGAAAAAGAATCAGCTAATAGAATGCGGTTCCTTAAGCTATGGCCAAGTACAGGATCCATCGAAGCAATTCATATTGCAAAATTCATGCCAATGTCTAGAGAGAGAAAAGAAAGGATGCTATCAATTGCGTTTTTGTACTGATGGCATACAGAGCACAATATATGAATTATTAACTACCGAACTTCGAAAAGATTTGCATACACGTATTGCAACTTATTTAGAATCAAGAGCATGTCAATGTCAGTCTTGTGGTGGAAGCCTATTTCAAACTTCTCATCGACCAGTATTTTATTTGTCCAATCGATATTCCATCGCAAGCCAGCATAGTTTAACTATGTATATCCCCAAAGATAACGATAAAAGTCAGCCTACGAAATTTAATACACCCAATCAAGATCAAATATTATATGGCCGAAAAAAAAGTAAAGCATTTCCTGATGCATTATTTAAGCGCCGCCATACATTACAAACTGAATCGGAATTCTCTTCAAGAAAAAAGAATCATTCTAAACGTCGCTTTACGCTTCAGGAATTATCTAAACTTCAAGGTGATGAAGATAGCAATCGTTTAAGAACTGGTGTGAGTAAGCATCAGGAAACGAGTTCTACATCCAATCTGAATCATTTACAAATGAATAAAAGCAATGCTATACGATTGGAAGAAATCAATGAGATTCATTTCGATAAGCATCATCAACAGGATGATGATCCTAAACCCTATCATGATATTCAAACTATGGATGAAAATCCTTCTACCCTTGAAGATTCTAACATGAACAAGGGCTCGATAAGATTAGCAAGAAAAAGTAATCGACGCCGTTCTAGTAATCGCTATCGTCGAATTTCATTGTCATTTTTACGTCAAAAACATGAACGAAGTCTGTCTTATAATACTAGAACTGGAGCTAAAAGCCAACCTTCATCGGCTACGAAATTAGCCTTGAATCAAGTTAGTAGCATCCACGAAAGATTGGATAATCCTTCTCTTGAAGGAATGAAAGGTAGCAATCCGATCGAAGTAGCTATAATACAAGTTAGCCAATCTGTCTTGAAATTTAGCGATAGTATTACCTCAGATGAAATGGAAGGATATAATTGGAATCGCCGAAATCGAGTCAAGTCTAAATTAAAAAATAGTATGATTCGAAACAGTTGGCGTAAAAGCATCAAACTTATGTACCGAAAAGATCAATATAAATCGCCCAAATTGCCACAGCAGGCTTCATTCCAACTCGATGATTACGAAAGCTATCTTGATCAAAACAAACAGCCTGAATCTCTCTCAGTTAATAGAACGAGTTGTTACGATGACGTGAACTCAGCTAATCCAACATCCAAATGTAAATGCGATATCATATTAAAATCAATCTATGAAGAATTAATCCACCATTGGCGTTTAGCCGGGAATACTACCAAAGTTTTCCGCTATTTAATTGAAAGAGGCGCTGGAATGATTAATACCTCACCTATTAGAGCTTTAAATTATTTACAAGAATCTAAAAAGTTGCTAATTCAAAATTTATCCCTCAAGCAATACTACCAAAACGTCGATGATATCACAATTAGTCTACAGCTATCTATGCAACGTGGTGATAATAACGATTTATTTAAAGATGATCGATTGGATGTCAGTAAAGATGAACTATTTCATTTAGAGCTACTGATAGGCCAGGTAATGTGGAAAATAAGTTCTATTTAAATGCAAATCGTGGCAGTGTTTTATTTGTAGAGTTTTTCTGCTTAAATATGGTATGCGATGCGTAGACTCCTTAGATTAACAATGATTGTTATTTTAGGCTTACTTAGCTAGCGATAATATCAATCGAGCAAAAGAACATTTCAGTCAACTACTGAAGGAATTGAGTTGTCCACAGCCACAAAATTTAACAAAATGTAAGTGGCAAATACTAGTTCAACAAATTGTCCAAAAACACCATCGCCAGCTACCGGAACAACACTCAGCGAATTCGAGGTAATAAATAACTCGTTAACAGATAAAAATATCATGTAATAGATTCTATATTCTAATTGGTTGTATAATTCATTAATCGTTAATACCGATAGAAAGATATCCATTTACAAGTAAATCCATACTCTATACATCCTAGATACTATGCTAGCCTTGAAATAGATATTCGCCATTTTGTTTGTTCATCACTAATTATACTTATACATTCGATTGTTGAATTACTTATGGCCATTATTAAATAATTTGTAATTTATATTATAATTTTCATCATAAATCGATGGGCAAGTTGATATAAATCTTTCTTTTATTTTATATGCATCTCATATATTATTATATCATGAATAACTAATTAGTCATATTAGAAGTAGGCAACAATGCAATTGATATTTACCATTTTGTTGGGTGTAATAGCTTCACATTAATGATTTTCATTTGTGCTTTCGACTGGTAACCTATCTATAGCTATTGTCATTATAAACTAATGGGCATGATCTTATGATGTTTCTCTCGAGCTATAGAACCGCGGAAGAAGAACTTAAAATTGCTCAAGCTAAATGCTTAGCTCATCTATATTACGTCCACCGCTTAAATAACGACAATACTCGTGCTTACGTGACTGCTCTGTTGCAAGTGAATAAAATAGAACAAGTTGACCAAGAAATTGATCAGGTCATATTTCTGAAAATACAATAAAAATAACCATTGATAATAATTGATATTTATACCATTTCTCGTGTATTGGCATAATGATTTAATATTTTTACCCTAGAGAATTATTGCTTATGCAGAGTTAATTGAAATATCTTTCGATCGAAAAATTTATGAACTATCTGATCGTTTACAAGTGAAAGCCATGCAAAGGTATAGCTACAAAATTTTATTAAAGAATCTATAACAGGTCTGGCTTAAAATGCTAGGTTATAAATAGTGATTTTACCATTACTATAGTATCAAGGAATATGAAAATGAAATCAATGCTAAACTTCTAGAAGCTATGGTTCATTTGCAGAGTGTTCTGTTAGTCACCAAATTAGGTCGTGGATTATTGCAACAAGCAGTTGAACATGGTATGATAGATCTTTGCATCATAGTTTAATGCTATAGTGAATTAGAAATAGCACTAATTTAAACTAAAAATCATCATCATCCTTGTAATTCTTATTGAATTGCTAGGCCATCAAGCATTGAGGAAAGCTAACTTATTAGTAAGCATGGCTGATGACCAAGAAAACATAAAAGAAGAATCAAGTAATTTGTCAATTACCTCGACAATAAGGGCAAGATATAATACAGCCAGTAAATCCAATGCAGTGGCTTCCAAAATGTTAATTTTACCCATTATAGTTCAGGCACTTTTATTATCTGGCAGGTCTATACTGGAAAAATTGTGATGTTAAATAGTGTTCTTGTTCTTCATATGATATTGAATAAGACTCTAAAATCTTTCTATTTTGTGAGAATAGTGAATCACTCTGCCATGAACAAATTTTAAATCTAAAGTTATTAGCGGGAGAAAAGTCAGATATTTTTGGTTTAACCTGGTATCATTGCTGTTTACTAGACTTAAACTTAGAAATAAGTAAGTAATCACTTCTGTTTGGATAGACATTTAAGATAGATATAGATTTTCAATGAATAGATTTTTATCACTATTTGCAGATCAACATATTGACGCATACTATACTTTTGCCAACTATGTTGGTCAAGTATTTTGTGAGAAAATTCGTGACGATGATACAATCTTATTTTACTACATCACTGCTAATCACGCATTATGGTAAGATTATTTCATTTTAACGACCTTACATCTTCTTTTTAGTTATACTATTACGGGATTCTTACTACAATTATTCCTATGATACTTAGGAATGCGAGACATAAATTATGGAAGATGGCAAACCAATATATAGAACTCGCTACAAGTTTGTATTTTAATCGTCTATTTTACAATATTATTTATTTTGCTCTTTCTCTCGAAGTCTTGTTAATTAATCTACTTTAAGTGATTTCATGGCCTTAATTAAGGAATATTTAATGTATATGATAGATATGGAATCAGAACACTTTACTATACTTCTACTGATTTTATTCTTTCCCTGATGTGCTATTAATTTACCTGCGCTAGTGATTTCATGACCTCAATTAAGGAATATTCAATATACGTGATAGATATGAAACCAAAACACTTTACTATACTCCTGATATACTATTAATTTACCTACATTAATAACTTAATGACCCTAACTAAGGATTATATAATACATGGCAGATTTGGAACCAAAATACTTTTCTATACTGATGGCAGCAAGAGCCTATAGTAAAATTGTTGAAGCTAATTTATTGTGTTGGGCACAGCAGAAAGGCAATAATAAATATAAGCTTCGTAGCAAAAAGGTACTATAGATTGGATTTATCCTTTGACATTTTAACAGTGAATGAATAACTATTAAAATTCACTTAATCAACAGTCGATGAAAACATTGCATGCTATTTCGCGGAAATATCCTGTTATAAAGTCTCGTTGGAATCATTTACGAGCTTATGGAGCACTTATTGAAGGAAAAGAACGAAAAGCTAAAAAATATCTAGCAAAAGGCTTAATATCAGCTTCTATTCCTCAGGATCATCGATGGATCAAATGTAGCCAACAACACTGGTTTGGAATTAATGTAGATAATTGCGGGGGCCAATTATTTCACTTACCTAAACCGAACGGAGATGATTCTATTTAATTTAAGTAAGGACTGTAAGGTTGAGAAGGAAAATTATTAGAAGATTTGCATCCAATTTTAAATAAATACTTATAATATTTTCTACTAAGGAAATTGAATGTTATCGAAATTTACAATATAAATGAATTTGATACTAGATATTAAGATTTCCACAAAACATACTGTACATTTACTATAAAATAAGGATACGATGCATTGCATATATTAATTTAAATTTTAATTCTGGATATAGGTTACTGCGGCTGCCTTACCTATCGGTAGGGCTCAAGTTGTAATAGTTGGATTGCATTGAGGATTTTATAATATCTTATTTGCGTAATTGCGATAGTATTAATCATGTTTGCTATTAATAAACTACGAGATTAATGCTTGAGGCAACTGGCTTATTAGATAATTTTAATTCCACTTATTCATGTATGTAACAGCAAGCCTTCATTGAAGTAAACTGAATGAGCATTATAATAGCATTATAATGCATTATAAGGCAGCTCTAATACATTTTATTATTGAGTGGCCGCAATTCTAATACATAGATTTGCTATTACTGAAAAAATAACTTTCGACTATTCATAAGAAGCCAGGACATACTTGTACTAATACCACACTGAATTTTTACCAAAAACTGTTATAAAAACCTGAAAAATTGGTGGCTCTCAGACTAAATACTGATGATTATAGTATTAGAGTGGAAAACACGGATGCAAGCGTCCGTATATAAACTTATAAATTCGATTAGTTTCACGGGATCTGTCATCAACTATTATCATTATGCCTTATTCTGGAGGAAAGATACTTACGTAAATAAATTATTTATTTATAACGGATATAAGCCTGACTCTTTCATGATTTTTTTAGTTTCTGAAGTGCGATAAAGTATCTTCTTAAAGATTCTACAAGAACTATAGTTTCTTGTATACTTCACTCTATTATATAAGATCATGAGCCTTTTAGAAGGGTAGTTCTTAGACGTTATAGTAGCAGTACTATATTCTTACTAGACCTTTCGACAGATTAGGGTAGTAATCTGTAGAAGCAACTCAAAGTAAGCGCTCACGTTAGACTAGTAAACTCGTTGGGAAGTAGTCCGTGACAGCCTTCTATTTTCATTTTTTAATACAGACAGTGGAAAGTTATTCTATTTTTATTAATTTTATTATCTACCTAGGACTTATTTACAATACAGAAATGTTGTTTTAATCCCTGAAGCAAAAAAAGATAAGTTGGAGTGTGATTTGGTATAGTTATTGCAACTTTATAAACTTTGTTGATATTCTACTTGATTTTGTAGTTATTGACGACGTTACTGCTAGAAAGCCAAAAATTGATCAAGAGACAAGACAGTTTATCGCAAAGTAAGTCGGTCCAAATCTTAAAAAGGAGCTAAATAGAAATGATATTGGAATGTTATTCGTTATAAAGTAAATTAAAAAATTTTTTGATTCCAACACGTATGTTTATTATTTCAATTTCAAGGTACAATTTCCTGACTACTGTTTATAATCTAAAACAGCTAATAAGCCATATCATTAAATTTAGCACAGACCATGACATAGTGAATTCAATAAATGTTATCCTATACTAAAATGAAGCTAAAATAAGAATTTAACAGCAATTATGTTAATTTAAGGACAAATTCTTGTCCAATTTTAGATGAGCTACATCGAAACATGAGATCGCGTTATTTAAATAAGAGCTAGTTTATTAACGAAGAATTATTAATATATTTAAATATCTAGCTATAATCTAACGATAGCCAAAAGTAACGGGCTGAGAAGAATCACGGCTGCAAGACGCAGCGCTAACCCTATCTCTAAAGCTGTGACTGCTCAATTTAATAAACATGTGTATAATTCTAATCGAAGTTTCTAAATGAAATATTTTATATCGTACAAGAGGTCTAATTCTAAGCACACTAAATAAGTATGAATTACGTTTTACTTGGGAAATAGGAACTAAATTGGTTTTAATATTAGAGTTGAGGGAAACAAGTATATTTAATATGTGAAAGGCAACTTTAGGTGATTATTTAACGATTGTGCTTAAAATACGAGTATATGGGCATTGATCACTTAAATATTATCTGCTCAAAATTGTAAACAGTTTTGCGGCAGTATATGGAAGATATGATGAATTCATAGAAATGTTCCCTTCTATTTCGCTAAAATATTCAAGATGAAGACATAACATGTTTATAATAGGCGAACAACATCAAGATGTGAAAAGTTGAAATTTTCTATAGGGTATTGGGTTAGATTTGACGGAGAATTTGCCTACCCATTGAAACTAACGAAAGCACAACTTCAAGTTAATAAAATTTCATCGCCACCAATAGAATAGCTATATCTATGCAACCTAATCAATGAGATGGCTATGAAATATTCATCAGTTTAATCTATTGCTTTAATAGGTCATCCTTTCGATTGGAAATGCTTTATTCTTGATCTGGAGTAAAAATTTGATTTTATTTGAGATAGATTATGAATCTCCTTGACATGCACATTGGACGTGATAGGTAGCGCGGATGATCTTTTTAAATCCATTAGAGCCACATTTTAGTTGTAAAGGAACTGTAGTAGTGTTAATAGATTGACAACATCTGACAACCGGGCGATAAAAAGGAGGATCTATAGACGGGAATGAAGCAGAACTGCAGTAGCCAGCACAAGACTGAACAACTACACTGCCTGAACAAGTATCATCACCAATTTTTTCACGATGTCTAAAGATATGTGTAACTGGAAGACAAGTCTTACTAGCTCCATGGCAATGCTGATGAAAGCAAATGATTGCCACTAAACACCATAAAGCCAATTTATATACCATTATTACCGAATTTAGGATTGCAAATTGTAGTGTTATGCGTAAATCTATACAAAAAGAGAAAAGCAATGAATTCAAAATGTTATACATAAGAAGAATTAGGATATAGTTAATAGCATATTTAAAATGGCGATACCAAGATTTCGTATTTTCATGATCATAAAATTATATTATAGTAAATTAAACACTATACGTGCACATTGTTTCTCGATATCGTTAATAGCATATTTAAAATAATGATTCCAAATTTTCGCACTGGTATACTCTTGATCACAAAATTATACAACCGCAAGTTAAGCACTATATGTTTTTTCGATATTGTTAATTGCATATTTAATACAGCGATATCAAGTGAAAGCTTGGTATACTCTTGATCACAACATTATATTGCCGCAAGTTAAACACTATATATTTCTCGATATCGTTAATAGCATATTTAAATAGTAATAGTAACTTTTCGCAATTGGTATTCTCTTGATCACAAAGTTATATTATCCGGGAGTTAAATACTGTATGTTTTTTTTGGAAGATGAAGCAATATCAGGAAATTGTCTATGACAAAAATCTAATTGAAAGTAGTGTATTATAAGTCTAGAGATATCACCTAGTAACTTTAACCTCTCAAGGATCGCTAATATAATACTTTTAGTACTGATTAGATTATTTTCAATATATTGCGAAGGTTTTGCTAACGTCGTCAAAGTTCTTTTCTCCATATTTTCGAACTAGAAATAGGTATCTGCATATCTTTATGCATTATGCAATATTTAAGCATATAGTAAGCCATGTAACATAAATAATGGAATGCCAGAAAGCATAATTTTACTAATATTTATGCGATATTATGCTAACTTTTATCTTTAAATGTAGGTATGATTAGACAATTGTAATTTGTTACTAAATTAATTGGAATAGCGTAGAAAATAGTTCGAGAATGTAATATAATAATTCATAAATAACGAGACTATCCTAAGTGATGACTGTTCGTTATTCTGTTTTACCTTAAAGATTTACAGATTTTTTTAGTATCAAATATCAGATATTTGCAATTTGATGTAAGCTTACCGCAATATCCTAGCAGATGAAGGAGTTTTCTCAATCAGTTTTAAAATGTAAATGTTCAAAGCTAAATATATCAGTGGCTTAAATAACCATTTAGCAAGTTAAATAAAAGCAGGTGAAATGAGTCTAATAAAGCATTTTGGTAATAGATCAGAATACGTATTGAAATTATACTTACATTTTATTACGAAAGAATAAGAAAGGTGATTTGTACTTCATCAATTTTGTCTTGGTAACAAGATTAAGCTGTTAATTGAAGAAGGAGAACAATAAGGCTATTATTAGAGATACTAAATATAAATATTATCCCTAATATTTGTCTAAATTTACTATAAATAAGGCATAGTGAGCCTTTCAGCCTAGGTACCGATTTGTTACTTAATTAGATTAATTATTTTTTCATTCACAGTTGTTTACTAAACTATCGAAAAAGATCAATCAATGACTTGATTTTGATTTTCATCGCTGTTGCTAGAGTGATGGATACATGATTTCATTTTCTGCTATCACTTATTGCTAATGATAGCTTTATTATAGATTATTAGCGTGATAAATTAAAATCCAAATTAGTGCTAATGTTATTTTAAATTGTTGCGTAGCCATTTATCAAACTAGTGCTACTACCAGCTATGGGTAACTTGAATGATCTAGGAGATTCTGTATGAAAATGAAGAGAAAATTCTCCTATATTCAGTAAATGTTTATATTGTGCTTAAGGAATAAATTTATGACTAATTACCGGGGATAACACCGGAACATTGAAAAATGGACAAAATCGATCTATTTATAATATTTAATTTGCTATTCTCCATCGAAAATCAATTCTGAGGAGACGCATATATTCTGACTTATATTTTTATTAAAACATTTAAATGTACGAATTGCAAGGCGGTTATTTCGGTATTTGTTTATATCATACGCTACAATAATTAATCTATTAATCAAATTGCTTAGAATTTAACTCGTTTCATAAGTATTTCATATCTAAAGAATGAGCTAGAAATACTGAGTGCGAATAAGTCTACTACATTTAACTGACCAAGAATGAAAGTATTGTCTTGATTATATCTCGATTTAACAACAAATTAAATTTCATGAATTGTGTAAATGGAATATTG